ACTCTAGCCTCCTGAGTCTTGGGAGGATATTGAGTCCTGAACTCAATGGTACTGGTCGGCTCGACCGGCCAAGGTAGGGAATGTACTGTCTCTGAGGCCAACAGCCAGGTCAGCATGACTGTAGAGCGCCACATGGTTGCCGCGACCATCCTTCTGGCTTGCTCGTGGTGACAGATATCGAAGGGCCAGTTATCTCACGACCTCAAAGAAGCGCAAGACAACGATACAAGAAGTTACGTATATTGATTTAGTGTCGCAAAAAAAGAATTGAATAGGAGCCTTTGTCCCAGGTGAACCAGGCCGCAGAGCGCCGCTCCGGAGCTTCAAAAGAGTGAATGCACAAAACGCAGAAGGACAGTTTGAATGCCTCGTTGAAGTAAAGGAGAGGTGATAGGGAATATGCCTTGCAACGAGAGAAAAAGGAGTGTGATGAAAATGAGTGTATTCAACCCGATTCGTGGCACATAGCGTATACGTCGAGTACGCTTCCTCTTGGGATAGGCCAGACAACTTGAGGGGAGAGTCGCGAAAGAAAACAGAAGGGCAGAAGAGGCCCAGAAGGCCCAGATAAAGGAAAACATTGCTCACAGATATCAAAATTTCAAATTCCAGTCACGACTAGCGAGAATCTCACCAGGCCGAAGTAGGCTGTTCCCCGTCAAGGGTTACCAGATGACCCAAACTTTGTCTAGAAGACAGACAGTGGAAGATGACACGGATGTAGATCTAAACAGACTGTCAGTCAATTGATTGGACTCAATGTGTGATTAGCAGTATGCGTGGTGGACCCGAAAGGGCAAAACAATGCAGGAACGAGGGCACTGGAATGCTTTATTATGGTGATCCGCGTACAAGCATTGAGGGTTGCCAGAGAGGCATTCTAGCCGCAAATCGTTCTCCGCACACTGGTATGAGAGATGGATGACTTACTTACAGGATGTAAATGATCCAACCGGGTGACGCGAACGATGAAAAGGAGGATAGAATGATTGAAGTTGGAAGATGTAATTGGAGCTGTCGAATCCATTCTGGGCAGGAAGKGTGTGGAGCAGGGCAGGCAGCTGAATAGTCAAATCTTGCGGGCAGATCCATACGCCAACGTAAGCCGCACTTGAGAGGCCCGTACGGATTGGAAATAAAGAGAGTTTGAGATCCATATTGATGGTCAATTTTGTCAAAGATTTCGCTAGGGCTAAGGTAGATGTGTAGTTGGATCAAAGGTTATCCGCACCCTCCACCATGCTGAACAGTCGGTGCTCAGACAACCTCATGGCTAATGGTGTAATCAGTCAGGTGAAAATACCCTCATAAACTGGTCATCGAGTATATGCCAGGTTCTCGATAATCACAGAGGCCACATGGCCGCTTCCTTTGGGATGCCATCAACAGAGGCTCAAAGGAAAGGATACATCAAAGGGTTGAGGTTGCAATTGCTGGGGAAGTGAGCTCGTGCTGCTTGTGCTACAGCCAGCCCGTCATCGCTCACCCGACCTGATCATCTACCTCTGCCCTTTGCTTGCGCATGCAAAAACTATCATGCAGATTGTGATTGAGCTACTATTTGCGGGAAGTACAGATGATTTTAGGAAGGTCAATATCTCTGTTCCAATACGCTCCAGGAACGCCGTTCATTACCCCACTTTTTTTGACAGGTTGGTATTGTGACACAATCCAGCGTGATATAGCACCCTACGCAGCAGGAGCACCACAACCATAAAACACACAAATATACATGGTCCAAAAAGAAATGCCTTAGATAATGGGCTTCTCCATTGGCTTGATGATGCCCTGTTTGATCATCACGCGAGGCTTGGTTGCGTTTTGCAATGTCTCCTTGGTAGACCATTCAGGGCCGATGGGGAGACGCAATGATCTTTCGTACTGTGCCTTGGTTTCGAAAGGATGAGGAAGCTGAGTCGCCATATACTTGGTGTTCTAGAAGAGATCAGTATTCAATCACTCGTGCATCGGTGGGAACAGAAATCGCTTACCTTCCTGATGCGTTTCTCGTTGATGATGACCCGAGAAAGCTTTGCATCCTTTCGGTTCTCAGGCTTGACACCTTCAACCTTGGTCAAGACCTTCTTCTGTCGCCTTTGCTCCCTCTTGCTGACTCCATCACCGGTCCAGCTGCCCCATCCAGGAAGGGTCTCATCGATAATCTTGTCACCCTCCTCTTCGATGGTTTGGAGTTTATCTTGCTCGAACTCTTGTACCACCTCATCTCCGGCGAACGCTCTCTTCACAAGATCATGATTCTTGAGCAGGACTGGCACACTGTCTTCGTCATCGCTGCCATCGTCGTCCTCGGCTTGCCCTTTCTTAGAGCTGATAGTCGACTGATCCTTCTGTTTCTTAGGCGCCTCGACAGTCTCAGCGCCAAGAGTGACATCGATAGTCTGCTGCGAATCATCCGCTGTCGCGCGACGGTTGTTTCGTTTTGTCTGCACCAGCCAAGGATTCTCCTCTTCTGTAGTGGTCTCCTTTTGCTCAGGTGCGCCACCAGATGGCCGCGCAGCCTGTTTTTTCCCCGGGCGCTCAGATAATTTCTTCTTGTCCGACTGATTGACGACGATGTCGACCTCTTGATTAGCCGCGGCGTCGGCCTCATCATCGGAACCTGGTGCCTCCTCAAACTCATTCTTGGGCAACGGCTTTTGTTTCTTGTCCTTGCCGGGTTTATCATCCTGAGAGTGGCCGAATTTACGGCGACCAACCTCAGACTCTGCTTCAGACTGCGACTCTTCTTCGCCGCGGAGTTCTCGGTTGAGTCGTCGAATTTCAGCATCATTTTGTGCTTTGCGTGCGGCCTCTGCGTTCTGCATAAATTTCATGGAGAAAAGTTTAGCATGTGGACCAGTTATCTCCGAGGCATCCACATCATCCCCCTCAAGCCCCTCAAGTTTCTTGCGTAGTTTCTGCTTCTCAGCATCCGAGCCAGCATCTTCTGCCCAAGGATCTTCTTCTTCCGACTCTGAACTGGAGGAACCCAGGTAATCCTCATCCGCCCGAGAAACACTCTTCCCTTCAATTCGCCTCCGCAGCTCTTCTTCCTTCAGGGCCTGTTCTGCTGCACCGCGTCGAGCGTCTTCGTCCCAAGCGGTACGGCCAGTCTGCTTGAGGCTCTTTGCCCACTTGCTATCCTTATGTTTGGCGCCCATTCTAGCCTCGGCTCGGCGGCGCTCATTCGTCTCTCGATCTTCCTCCTCCAAGTCCACGCCAGCTTCCAGAAGAGCTTGTCTTTCCTGCTGCTCTAGACGCTCACGCTCCTTGCGGTGCACGCGGCGATACGACTTGCTTTTGATCTTCTTGATCCGCTTGGCCCGTACTTCTTCTCGGAATAGCAAATCGCGTTGCTTGCGCAACTCTGCCCTACGGGCTCTAATTTCCTCAATGGGCAACTTTCGTGCCTGCAGCTCCTCAAATTCCTGGACCTGCTCCTCAGTCGATTTGCCGCTCGGATCCGCAAGACCACTTTCAACTAAAATATTTTGAATCGTAGCTTCGAGATCCGTCTGCGGCTTGGTAGGGCCGATTCTATGTGTTTGCTGGGCGTCGGGATCAGGTAGAGGGAACATCAGGTGTTCCGCTCTTCGATTAGCCTTGACAGTCTCGAGCCAGCGGTTCAATGTCTCTTTGCTCTTTTCGTATGCTGCTGCTCGGTCCAGCCGATCTTGTTGACGTTTCGCCAGGGGGGCGTCCAGTTTACMAGGTACTCCAGATGACTGTTTGTGAGAAGATGGGGCCGCGTCGACATGCTTTAACGAGCTCTTTAGGCGGGAGTCCGTAATGGAAGGCAAGAGGTCGGCGACTGTAAGCTTTCGTGACGAAGTCAGTCCGTATTCCGTAGGCTTGGCGTGTTCTTGTGCGCCTCCTGTTCTCCGAGTTGGCTTATTCGTGGATTCTGGCTCCAATGCATTGACGAAGCTCTGTAGTTTTGAAAGACCATGCTCATCTGCTTCGTTGGCCTCGTCATCTGACATCGATAGCCCGCTTTCCTCGTCGGATTCATCGTCGCTCTCTTCGCTGCCCGAGTCATATTCCTCAGACTCATCCGGTTCAGCCTGCTTCTTTTTAGATGCTGCGGCCTTTGCCTTCTCCTCATCAGCTGTGTTTAGATCCCAGGCAGTAGTAAGATCGATGGCATCCTCTCCAAGGTCGTCATCGTCTTCGTCCAGATCTTCGTCTTCCTCCTCTGATTCCTCGACATCCTCGTCCAGGTTGATTTCGCGCACGCGTTTGGATTTCTTCGCCTTCGGCTTCGATCCGGCATTGGTTGTTGAGCTTCCGCGAAACGTAAAGCCCTCAAAGCGTTCTTCGTCGCTTGAGCCCAAGGCCTCGTCACTGTCCAACTCTTCGTCGTCATCGCTGTCAACTTGACCCAATCTCCACCTGTGCCCTTCTCCGTCACTGCCGGCGTTACTGCTCAGTTCTGATTCATCATCGCCCCCGAATCGACGACGCTTGTTATCGGGGCCATCCGAGTCATCCATATCACGGTTGTTGTTCCATTTGCGCTTGGAGGGGTCATGGATCTGGCCTAAACGGTTGCGCCTTACTCCTAGTTTATCGGTGACTTGGCTTTCTGCGATCGAGAGCGCATTCAGTGCCTTTTTTCCGGTGTTCTTTTTTGGGGCCGACTTTTTGGAAGACTGGTCCTTCGGACCCCGCAACTGAGTTTGTCTGCGAGGCATGGTGTAATCTTCACGGTAGAGAAATGGAAACCACGATACTCAAGACCAAAATCAATAAGTAGATATGAGAGCCTGAGAATGTGGCTACTCAGTCCCCAAAACGAGTGCGGAGCGCAGGACTGGTCAACTCCATAAAAATAATTTTTAAACTAATCTTGCGGGCAGCGGAAAAAAAGTTCTCGGCGCGGCGGAGCTAAGTAGCGCCGCCCGACTTGCACGACCTTTTCTCAACTCCGACGACTGGACGAGACGGTACATCCTCGACGGCTGCATTTATCGCATAACTGGAGCGCCGCATCTCACACTATGGCAATGTTCAAGCCTTCGCAACCGATGATGGCGCGATTGCGCCTGACCACCAAGCAGGTCAATGGCGGTTACTACAAGGGAAACCGGACCGGATCTATGGGTTACTTCGCGAAGAATGGCTCTTATGTGATCAATTGGAAGAAAGTCCGCACATATGTCGTCCCTGAAAACCTGGCTGATTTCAAGGTGCGTTGCTCAAGATTAGCCACGAAAACCCGGCTCCTAGCATCTGATCTAACATTCGCGAACCAGCTCACGCCATTTGTGACGAAACGCATGGCCCCGACAAAGGGCAAGTACACGAGAGAGATTGAGAAGAACGGTAGAACGGTTATCGTCGAGCGAGCGTTCGGTGCGAAAGACTATCTTGACATGTGGGCTTCGGATAATGGTCAAGAAGTGCTGGAACAGGAGCGACTCGAGCAAGAATCAGCGGCAAGCGAGGCGGCTTCCCTGCAAGAACCAGCGGCGAGCGAGGCGGCCTCCCGTCAATGATCGCTTGGATTACGGTGTCGAGTCATATTATATCTTTCAATCGGTTCTATTGAGGCAACTTGGAGGAGGATGATGGTTGACCGGCTACGAATCGCGGCGTTGTCGATATCCTCAAGTCCGATACATCCGCGGTCCCCGGTCTACGAGTGTATTATATGTACAGTATGAGCGTTGGTTCCTGCTGCATCGCGGCCGAGTCTGCAGTGGTTCACGATATCATCGCCAGCTACATGAGTGGTGGCTATTGCAGTGGACGATTCAGCATTTTCTTGGGTGTTTACTTCGTTAAACGGCGCAATTTTGGTTTTTGGCATCTTAAAAGACATGTCTACGGTTCATTGTTATACCAGCTAGATTTCGCAACCAACACACAATACCAACAAGTACCAAGGAAATCGGCCAAATATCGATACAGTAGGTCAAGGAACTGGTCCCTAACCCAAAGATAGAAATATTTCGAATATAAGAAACCAATCTGCTGAGGTGACCTTTGGCAATGTTCTGATGCGTGGCATTTAACTCTTTCCCGCCTTGGCAGTGGTGGTAGAGCTTAAGATCGGGCACATGGTGCGTGCCCCTAACACAACGGGCCGCTGAGCTGTATATGTCATAGCCCCGAGCCGTCTCCATCTCACTCACCATATTTCTCCAGACAATCCCAGCATCGCTCGGGCGAAGGCATGGAAGTCACTTCCGTCTTAAATCCATCATCTGCAGTGACCTCGCAAACCGTGGACGACCAGGTCTTGTTAGCCAGGAGCTGGAGACCAGCAAGACGACAATCGGTATGTTCCAGTCTTTCACCGGAAACTCTCGCCGTCCGCGGCAGGTCAACCTCGGAGGCCGTAATACCAATCCTTTCGCTGCCTACCCTTCCGGCCGACATCCTCCTCAGGGACCGAGCGCGCAGAATACCCTTGCCATCGCACAACAGGAGCGGCTACTGAGGCAGCAGGAGAGAGAGCGTCTGGGAGCAATACGGAAGATACAGCGGACATGGCGGGGCTACCGGAGCAGGAAGCTCACTCACAATACGTGGCGGACAGAATGGGATACTGCTGAGAGGCAGAGGACAGGGACTTCTCTGCCTTTTGAGGATAAGACTAGGCAGCCTGACGCTTTCCTGCACCCGTCTCTAAGATATGGAACAGCGGCCGAGTGCCTTTCACAGTTGCGGCTTCTCGTGCAGTTTGTGGAACCATGGAATACCAGTGACATTGTCCGTCTGGTGTACTATGCCAATGCCTTTCAGATGACCCTGCATGAGGTACCTACGATAGCGACCGAAGGCGAATGGACAACTCCACTCTGGCGTCTTGCGAAGACGACACTACGGGTATTGCGCTCCGCCTTGTCTTCTATCGTGCCTGATTTTGCGGTTCCTCATCTTGTCGACTTGCTGGTCTTCCTCACGAACTTGATCCCTAAGCAGATAGCACGGCTAGCTGAAGACTATTATTCTGTTATGGCAATGATCACAAGGAACATAGAATCGTTATCCCAACGATGTCATGTATCTCAGGAGAGCCTTGCTCAGAGCGTCCTCGCTTTGCTGCGACCGATCACTTCTGAGACTCTCACTGCTTATGAGTGGTTTGCCAGGAGTTACCTCACCATCCCAGACTTGCCGGCTTATCTTGGAACGCTCGATCAATTAGCGGGCAACATAAATTACAAATTGTTGCTTTCTGCCTTGGGGCCTTTGCAGTCCCGATTTCGAGAACGTCCTCAGAGTGTCACGGATCTGGACGCACGTCTCTGGCTCCTTGCATACATCATCTACTTTCACCAATATGCGATGGGGACTCAGGCTGGGCAGCAAGCACCGGAACCGGAGTTCGTGAAGATCGTATCAGAACTCTTGAATTCCACAGCCGTGCATCTCTCGCGGCGACTGGAGGTAGATGACGTGATCGACCATGATGACACGGAGGAGACACCATTGCACCCCTTTGTCAAGGAACAGATTTCTAGCCTTGTCAACCAAAGTAGGATTACAGGACTTCTGTCACAACTCCAGTCAACGCATCTCTCCCAAGGTGACCTGGCCGACTCTGAGTCGGATGCGTCTAAAGAGGCAAAAATTCTGGCCACCTATGCTCTCACCCTCMTGAGAGTGTTTCCGCGCCGGGGAGACGACATTCGTATGTGGCTATACTTGGGATCGGCTACATCCGGGGACCAAGGGGCAGATCATCCAGGTTCTCGAATTCCAGCAATTAAATACTTTTGGCATGCGTCTCGATCTAGCAGAATCTTTAACAAGATCAGTCAAGACTCCACCAAAGTGCTTCCCTTCTTGAAGCCGGCCGATGAGGCTAAGGAGTCTGGGTTGTCAATGACCCAAGCCGAGAGAGACGAGGAATGGACCATTATTCTGCTCTTTCTGGAACTCTACACCTTTGTTCTGAAAGTGATGGACGACGAAGAATTCTTTTCCAGCCAATCTTCCTTCACCGCTTCGTCAAACTCGAGAGTTTCGTGGACCAAGGAGAGCGCTCTGCCCTTGAAGGACATCAAAGATATGACTGTTTTTCTCAAGAATCTCGCGTTCACACTCTACTGGAACTCCGCGGACCTGAATGATGAGCGCGAGGCGCCTCAGACGGCCGGAGGAATTCAAAGCTACTTCACTGGTGCCATCTCGTCTTCTGATGCCATCACCAGTGTCAAGGACCTTGAGATGCGGAACAAGGAGAAGGGTCTCCCAGGAGTTACTGGAATTCCGCTTGACTATTTCAAGGGTCTTGTAACTGGTCTTTTGAGAATGATTCATGAGCGCGATTCAAGACGCAAGTTCCTTCCTGATGGACATTGGTTGATGACCAACCGCTTCGACATGGAAGGCTTCATACCGGCAGTTGTAGCGGAAGAGGAGAATCGCCATCAACTCCAAGATGAGGACGAGGAGGAGGATCATCAGAATGCTTGGATGAGAGATGACGAATACGAGCCCCTGGGTCTTATCGGGACCGGTCGTGCTCAGCAAACTCGCCGTATCGAGGCACTTAGGCGGCGCCAGCAACAGGCCGCTCGCAGAAAGCAGCTTGAAGCCGTCGCTCCCAGGCTCGAGATTCTAAGGAACATGCCTTTCTTTATTCCCTTTGCGACCAGAGTACAGATTTTTCGAGAATTCATCTATCGCGATCAGATGCGCCGAAGACAAGGATATATAGACCCGGATGCATGGCGGATGTCCGTGGCTCAAGCGTCCATGGGCCGCATGATCGATGGTCGGCCTGCAGCGCAGGATATCTTGAGTCGTCATCATGCAAATATTCGGCGGGAGAGCGTATTCGAGGACGCATTTGACCAATTCTACGAGTTGGGTGAAGGCTTGAAGGAGCCGATTCAGATTAGCTTCATTGACAAGTTCAACACAGTGGAGGCCGGGATCGACGGCGGGGGGGTAACCAAAGAATTCCTTACGAGTGTTACTAATGAGGCTTTCAAGTCTGGAAGCGAGCCAAAGCTCTTCGAAGAAAACGATCAACACTTGCTCTACCCCAACCCTGCCGCTGTTGAGCAACGACGAGAAGTTCTGCGGCAGCTCGGGTTCGTTGAGAACAGCCCGGAATGGAACGAGCAGGTTCGGGATTTGCTTAGACGGTATGAATTCCTGGGTCGGATTATCGGAAAGTGCTTGTATGAGGGGATACTGGTCGATGTGAACTTTGCGCCCTTCTTCCTCCTGAAATGGGCCTTGACTGGGGGCGCAGGATCAGCGCAGAGGGAAACGGCGTATCGCGCAAATCTGAACGACCTGAAGGATCTTGACCAGGGGTTGTACCAAGGATTGGTGAGTGAACTAATGTCCTTATTTGAGTGAGGTGGTTATGTGCTAATCTTTCTTTTTTTCGCTGCAGCTGCAACTGAAAAACTACATCGGGGATGTGGAAGACTTTGCGTTGAACTTCACCGTCACCGACACCATACCACTTCCGAACGGAGGCACTCGCACCGTCACTCGAGATTTGAAAAGTAACGGATCTGACATTCCAGTGACCAACCAGAATCGTCTCGTTTATATCTCTTACATTGCTCGATATCGTCTGCAGGTACAGCCTGCATTGCAGACAAATGCATTCCTGCAAGGCCTTGGACACATCATTCAGCCGTCTTGGTTGTCGATGTTCAATCAATCGGAGTTGCAAACCTTGGTCAGTGGGGAGTCTGGAGACATCGACGTCTCGGACCTGAGACGCAATACACTTTACGGAGGGGTGTATACCATCGGCGACGACAAGGAAGAGCATCCGACCGTCAAGCTTTTCTGGCAGGTCATGGAGGCGATGTCAAATGAGGAAAGGCAAAAAGTGCTGCGATTCGTGACATCGACCCCTCGAGCACCGTTGCTAGGGTTTAGCCATCTCAATCCGCGATTCAGCATTCGCGACTCCAGTGAAGACCAGGACCGATTGCCCAGCACTAGCACCTGCGTAAACCTGCTCAAGCTGCCACGGTATACAAATGCTAAAGTTCTACGGGAAAAGCTGCTTTACGCCATCAACTCGGGGGCTGGCTTTGACCTCAGCTGAGATTGGGTCAGTGATATGGTTGGCTGTTGGTTGCCATTGCTTGTTTTGCTGATAGACATTCTATTCAAGAGAGTCCCATTAATGTTCTGGGTTGCATAGCTGAGGCGTCCTAGGGCTTTATCCTTGTTGTGTTGTTTTCTTTGATGAGCTTTCATCTTTGAGGGGGTGGCTCGGGTTTCGACATTTTTGCCGATACGTTCCTCCCATTTGATGTCAGTAACAACCTTTACTCTTTTTACACTCATGGGACATGCTTCAACAACCCTAAACCTTTCGTCATTGTTGTTGTGTACATGGTCGTCTCTTATCATAGTCGCCGCTCAAGTCAGGCCATTGGAGCGGCGAGGGGAGATTACCGTAAATAGACTAGCGTGGTTCAGTACCTTTGAATTTTCCAGAAGGAAAGAAAAATTCAACGCCAAAATTCAAAGGGAAAAAAGGCAGAAAGAAAAAAAAAAGTTC